GTCGGGGTTCTGTATTTCACTCTGTTACTTTTTCTGGTTATCTTTTCTGATCATCAATTCCTTCCTCCCACTCTCCCGCCCACTCCTCTTACGTAAGATGGCATAATTGCTTCTTTTCTCTAACATTTTCATGTGGACTTTCCGCTCCCTCTGCTTGCTTCCCTTCGATGTGTTAGGACTACAGGGTTACAATGAACTTCACACAAGCCATGAACTTCACTGAAGAACAAGATTCGAATGTACTTCCTGTGCCACGTACTTTTTCAATTTTATTTATTGGTGTGCGCGCGCATGCGCGCACGCGTGCAGTTGTCCACAGGGACTAGAAGAGAGCCAGATTCCCTGGAGTTGGAGTTACAGGTGATTATGAGCAGGCTGATTGGTGCAGAAAAACCAATCTGGGTTCTCTGGAAGATTAGGAAGTGCACTAAACCTCTGAGCCACCTCTCCAGTCCCCAAACAAAAGAATCGAGGCTCACACATTGGTTCTTTGGTTATAGAGTTATCGTTCTGGTTCTGCTTTACAGTTTTAACTTTCTGAATAATTCCATATCCTGTGAATATAAACTTACCTAGCAAATTCTGGAGGCACAGCCTTTTGACTTTTCTTTCTCTCTTCCTTTTTCACAAATAGGACCTTTTATTTGTCACTATTGGAAGTCTGGGTTTTCAACAGTTTCTTCGTATGCATCAGTTCACACCTGTCTCATCATCAGTAGTTTTTCCAGAACTTCCACCTTCACCACAGAGCGCCCTGAGTTTTCTCAATTCGAACTTGGGTTTCTTCTGCCTTTTTATCATCTTCTTCCAGATCTGGAGGACCTGCTGGGGCTGCACATGGGATGTTTTGCATGTCTGGCTGTTGTTGCGTTTTTTAGTGAAACCAACACAGAACAGAAGGAGCAAAGAACCATTGGTTGTCTTGACATCAACACAAGCTTCAATCATGGTCTAGTCTGCCACTTTTTGACCATGGAACACATTTTGTCCTGGGTAAGATCCATGCCATGGAAGTTAATCAGACATTTTTTTTTTTTTTATTTTGCCCTGAACAACTTCAGTAATTAGCTCGAATTTCCTAAATACAACTTTGTCACTCTGTAGATCAGCAAAGCTCTCTTCAAACACACGACCCTTGAGGCTATCAGATGAAATTCTGGTTCCTTGGGTCCTTGTGACTAGTGTTTTTCCAGTGTTTCTAAACTGGAACATAGGTGGAGCTTTCACATCATACCAGTCTTCCTTAGAAAATGGACCAACCAGTTTCTTCTTGGCTCCCGTCTTGAAGCCTTTCCTCAGGGGCTTGTTCTCACTGACTGCCGCCTTGCTGCTGCTCAGAGAGCCAAAGGGAAGAAGTACGCGCAGCTTGGGTAAGAACTTACTTGAGTCGGATGGGACTTTTATTTCTTGGTAGAAATAGAACCTTGCTAAAAAAAAAAAAAAGTGGGGGATGGGTTGAGATGATTCCCTCTTTTTTGTTATAAATCATAGATCTGTCCACAGAAAGCTGCTCTCTTGGGATCAACTGTTCATCTTACAAGAGCTGGGGACACCTTGATGCAGCTACAGTTACTGTCATCATTATAATTGCTGCTAGTATTATTTTTTATTAGTTTCAGCTTTGAGTGGAAGAAAACTGGTTTGTCTAATTTTGAAAAGCGTGGTTTTGCCTCTAAGAAAAGAGCACAATGCATGGCTACATGGCATCACCCCATGGTGGCAAACACTTCCTATTGTCCTCAATGTGGTGGCCACATGTTTTCTTTTCTTTTTCTCCCAGATAGCTCAGTCTTAAGCAAGAGAGTTTGGAGGAAATGAAAGAGGGAGAAAATGCACTTTTTTTTCCCCTTTTATGGCATTTAGAGTGTGTGCCAGTGGGTTACATATCCCCCACCCATGAAGTTGTGTGTATATGTTCATATGTGTGTGATTAATAAAGAAAATAAGCAAAGTGCATTGTGATTGTTCTGGGCTGTTATTTCTGTTTTCATGAACCGGTTTTAAATCTTTTGAAGCAAACTGGGAGAAAATGATGAGCCTCGTCCGCTGTGAGCGTTTAGTGATCATGTTTACAAGTCACCTATATAGCACACTATCCTGCAAAGCATAAATGTGTGTATGAGATTCTGTAAAACAAATAAATGTGTAATGGAATTTCACTGATAGAAAATACTTAAAAAGTGAACATCATCTTCTGTAGGCTCCATGTTATACATACACAAAAATTACCCAATATTTTAAAGTCCAATTCGAGAAATTTTTTTCAATATTAATGGCCATAATGCAATATTGCAGTGATTGAATTGAAAATAGAATAAGTGGATATTCAAGAAAATCAGAGATTTTGAAACTTGGAAGAATACTTTGAAGAGGATTTGGATTATTTGTTAAATCTGACAAAGTGCTAAGAACCAGAAAAAATATGCAGAGAAGCATTTCCTTCCCCCATGTACCTCCCCCTCTCCTCTTTCCCCTTCCCCTCTCCTTTTCCCCTCCCCCTCTTCCCTTTCCCCTCCCCCCTCTCCCCTTTCCCCTCCCCCTCTCCCTTCTTCCTCTCTTTTCCTCCCCCTCCAACCAAGCAGCAGACCTGGAAACAAAGGCAAGCTAACTGAGATCCAGGACAAACTTTCTACCCTCCCAATAGGAGCCACTTTAATTTGACAGCCACAGCAAAGGTCTTCCCTCAGAAACCTGTGGTCAAGTGATAACTGTGCCCAGCCATTCTGTTCTGGAGGTAAACTGTTCATGGGCAGATGTAGAGCCTTTTTCAGATGAAAGGTAACGATACTCAATCTCTTTCTGTTTCCCCTTATAATGTCATCTGTCCATCCAAATTATAGACACCTTTTTTCCCCTTTTGTTCCCTCTATCTCTCTTACAAAGTCTAGAGAAATCCAGTAGTTAATTTTAATCCTTCTAGCCAGCCAGTAAAATGACAACTAGTGTTATCTTAGAGATGGTTTTGTTCAGAAAAGAATTCACTGCTGACTTGTGGTGAGTGAATTTGTACTTAAAGTTTATCCTCATCATCTAGGCTGTAGATTTACCACATGTGGGCAAAACTCTGTGTCATATCCCTTGGTGACCAAGGAAGGTACGTGGTCCATCTAACTTGACTCAAAAAGTCAGACTCCTTACCCTGGACTCTGGGTCATGTGATTTAACTAGCTGAAAGCCGCAGGCCAACCCCCTCTGTCAGTCAGGATTCTCCTGTGGCAGATGACAGAAACTGACTATGTTAGTCCACAAAAGATTGCAATAGAAAATCTGAAGGAAATGCTGAAGAGCCAGAACCTTTTCTAGCAGTGGGAGGAGAAATAATGTTCACCATGTGACCAACTTGACATTTAGATAGTTTAATTAGAACGAACTCAGATCTTGTGACCAGTTCGTGAAGTGAAGAAGTCTCATGAATGCCTTGTCAGTCCAACCTCACTACGGGGTGGTTAGAGGTTCTGGGCAGTTTCCTGAAGAACAGAAAGAAAAGGAAGGAAAACGGGTATCAAGCCGTCAGACTAGTAGATGTCCACCAAACCACCTCGTGGGGTGATCAGTTATGAAAACACGGAGTCTAAGAGGTGAGATTGAAGTGTCTAGACAACAGCTCAGTGATGGGACCAATAAAGTGGATACTAAATTCTGGCTTGCCTAGTAGTTTAAAAGGGCCACTTAGTAGCAATTTTTCTTTGAATTCAGTTCAGAGTTTCCCAGACCCTGAGTGGGATGTGAATAGTTGGTCTATTAAGCATCTCTGTCCAGTTACAGACTATCCTCCGACTCATTCTCCTGGCCAGCCACACCTACCGTCTTCTTCGTAGTGAACTCGGAACTCAAAGACTGTTTCTCTTAGAACACCTTTGTTTAGACTGGAAGAGGAATTAAAAGCTGCTGAATACTTTATTGAATTTCAACCTTTAATATTGGTAATTTGATTTTAACGTGTGAAGTCAAACCTCCTTACTAGACACAGGGGAGAAAGAGAAAGAAGTCAAATGAACCGTCTACTTGAAGATGTCCTTGAACACTCTCCTGCCCTTCTTCTAGCTTTCCCGTACACAGTAGGGATGAAAGAATTCTTCATCGTCACTTAAAGTGCAAATTGGGCCGGTTATTTGAAGAGAGAGAGAGAGAGAGAGAGAGAGAGAGAGAGAGAGAGAGAGAGAGAGAGAGAGAGAGGCTTATTCACTACACTTTGTTCCCTGTAAATTTTCACTTTGGTTATTAAAATTCTCACTGTAGGAAACAGATTTGTAACCCATTTCTCATATTACCTACAGCCAGAAAAACAAAATTTGATATCCTGGGGTTTATTTGCTGAGGGCGCTTCCCATAAAAGCGGGGTGAGTGTACGTTAGGAAATTCGTCTGGTTAACTTCTTTATGGATAAGCGTTAGTCACAACCTCCCCCATCCCAGCACGCACACTTTGGCCCCACCGCCCTCCCCACCTCTTGACTTCCCGCCTCTCCCGGGCTGGTGACCTAATAGCATTTTTCTTCATGCATATTTTGGCTTGGGCCCATGGCCTGGCTGCCTTCGCCTGTCTGAGTCTTTTGAAATTCCTGCATGTTCGGCCCAGATTAAGTCGAGTGTGTCTCAGGATGTGTGTTCCGTTTTGTTCTTTCCCCTTAACTCTCCCTGTGCAACGTGTCTGGGGAGGAGGGGAGTGGGGCGGAGAGGGGAGGAGGGGCAGAGTGGAGGAGCTGTCCGCCTCGCACGTTTCCAATCGCATTACGTGAACAAATAGCGGAGGGGCAGCGAGCGGGGCCAGAACGGCTTGTGTAACTGCAAACTTGTCAGAAAGTTTAAAATCTCTCCCCTTCTTCCACTCCAGACACTGTGCGCTCGCCGGGACCGACCGTCGTGCGCCGCTGCTCCCCGTCGTCGTCTTCCAGGACTGGGAAAGGGGGTGCCACGTCCGACGGCGGCCTGGGCTGGGGGGCAGGGTCTGCCGTCCGCCCTTGGCACGGCTCACTGCGACCCATCCCCGCGCCTCGCCCTCCTCCCGGCCCCGAAGAGGTCTCGTTCCTTCGCGGGATCTGAGCCCCGTCTTCACTCTCTCCCAGCCACGTCCTCCTCCCCGCAGAAAGGACTCGCCGGGAGAGCCATGCGTTTCGCCTGGACCGTGCTCCTGCTGGGGCCGCTGCAGCTCTGTCCCCTTCTCCGCTGCGCCCCGCAGGCCCCGCGGGAGCCACCCGCCGCCCCGGGCGCCTGGCGCCAGACAATCCAATGGGAGAACAATGGGCAGGTGTTCAGTCTGCTGAGCCTCGGGGCGCAGTACCAGCCGCAGCAGCGGCGACGCGACCCCAGCGGCGCCGCGGCGGCCCCGGGCCCCGACGGCAACGCCGCCCCGCAGCCGCGCACGCCCATTCTGCTGCTGCGGGACAACCGCACGGCCTCTGCCCGCGCGCGGACACCGAGCCCGTCGGGGGTCGCCCCCGGCCGTCCCCGGCCCGCCGCCCGCCACTGGTTCGAAGCTGGCTTCTCGCCGTCGGGGGCCCGCGATGGTGGGACCTCCCGGCGCGCAGGGAACCGGACTGCGTCGCCACAGCCCCCGCAGCTCAGTAACCTGAGGCCTCCCAGCCACGTAGACCGCATGGTGGGCGACGACCCCTACAATCCCTACAAGTACTCCGACGACAATCCCTATTATAACTACTATGACACGTATGAGAGGCCCCGGCCTGGGAGCAGGTACCGACCCGGATACGGCACTGGTTACTTCCAGTATGGTAAGCACCCCCAGGTTCACGAGAGGCACCTGGCCACCCTGGCTGCAGGTCGGTGCTGTCTAGACGTGGCAGACTGAGCGCGACCGGTCCCCCCCGATCCCGGCCGACCGGACCCCCTTAATTACCCCTCGCCCGCCCCGCCAGCTCTGGAATCTGATGGAAACCGCGCTCCTGGCTCCAGCAGCCTCTTCTTTCCTTTCCTTCCCAGCTTTGGAGTTCCCTGTTCTTCCACACACTCAGCCCCACCCAGCGGACTTGGTGGGCAAAGGGAGACAAAAGAGGGGACCTGGGGTCAGAGGTCACCTGCTTGTCTTATTTTTAGGTCTCCCGGACCTGGTGCCGGACCCCTACTACATCCAGGCATCTACATATGTGCAGAAGATGTCTATGTACAATCTGAGATGCGCTGCGGAAGAAAACTGCCTGGCTAGGTATGGATTTCCACAGCCTGGCTCCCATTTTGATCCTGGGATCACACGGGTGCCTAGTTCTGACCGCTATTCAGTGCAGACAAGGGCCAGGAAGTGGGACAAGGGCTGGGAAGTGGGACGTGACCTCCTGGGCATGCTGACTTGGATAGAGAGTTAATTTGGAATGTTTTTATGGGTGCCGCCTCACTGGGAGGCGCAAATCCGGAGAGGGGGGCGAAAACCCTTGTTCTGGAGACTGGGTCTTAGGTTCTTTTCCCAAGGTTTCTATTCGGCATTGGCGCCAACATTTTTCTGTAAAACAGGAGCTCAACAACCAACCACACAGGGGGAAAAGTAGAAAGGAAGCGCTCGCTATTATTCTCCGATGGTCTGGGGTGTGTTCGCCACGGTGGCGCCCCCCATTGGTAAAGACTGCATTCCACATTTCTTTCAGGCCGTGATTAACTGGGTTGTTTTGGTATGAGACCATGAGCAAGAGTTTTGTTTTCCGTCATTCCCAAAATAAAAATAGCTATTCTGGACTTGGAATTCTCCGATTTTGCTGCTGGCAACCAGCAGAGGGAGCATAAGATGCTTGTGTAGTTCTGGTGGTACCTTAAGTAAAATGGGTCACCAATGGTATTCCAACCCAGACCTACAAAAATATAGAAGCATCTCAGAAGTGTTTATACGAACCTTTATTCCACGTTGGCTTTTTTTTACAACCGTCAGGCTAAGGGAAGAAGAACTTCAAGCTCATTTTCATTCCCAAGTCTTGCATGATCCACACCACTGAGTGCTGGAAGACAGTAGAGAGGCGCTCCCTGTCTGATGGTAGTCAAGTGTAAAGCTATCTATCTAAAGCTAGCGGTCCTATTTTAGAGTGTTTCTCCACTTACTATTTTAAATCTATCAATTTATTAATAGATGTATATGGATCTTTTTGGCGTGTGATCATTACTATAGCAATTTCATAGTTTTTAGATGCAGAGTGTATCGTCAATAATTTTTTTAGTGTAAATCCTAATTTCAAGCGTTGTAGGTTTTTACTGCTGTCCTTCATTCACTCATTCACCAGGTAGTCGCTATGTTTCTATTCTTCCAGAACTGGATGGGAGCTCAGGATGGTCTCTTTGAGCTGAGAGGCTAGTTGGGGAAGGGGAGGGATGCCACTGCAGTGTAAAGGTGAGCTGTTCTTTCTAGTTTTGTTTTTCATCGGTATTCACTGGATCTAATGTTTGTTTGTTTGTTTGTTTCTAAACTCACAGCTCAGCATATAGGGCGGATGTCCGAGATTATGATCACAGGGTACTGCTACGATTTCCCCAAAGAGTGAAAAACCAAGGGACGTCTGACTTCTTACCAAGCCGCCCTCGCTATTCCTGGGAGTGGCACAGTTGTCATCAGTGAGTGGACGGTCCTCTCAGTGCTTCTGGGACGCTCTGACATCTTTCAGATGATTCTTCACGTGTCTTACCTAAAGCTAGAGATTTGCTATTATTTGTACTTAGAACTTTTACTATACAGGTTGATGGTCATCAAAGAATGTTAAACGTTAAAGATGGCCCCTTCACCACCAAATCCCATTATCTTTTGAATTGGAAACTTAAGTTAGGTTCATTAAAAAGTGTGGAAAGACATAGCAGTGGCTGCCGTAGAATTTGCTATTAAGTAAAACTATCTGCTATAAATAAGATCATCTATGTAAATAGTAAATTTACAGAACTTATTATTATGTAAAAGTATCTTCTATAAATAAGATCATCTATGTAAATAGTAAATTTACAGAACTTATTATTATGTAAAAGTATCTTCTATAAATAAGATCATCTATTTACATAATTTACTATTATGTACAAGTATCTGCTATGGATAAGATCATCTACATGATCACCCGCAGCTGGTCAGCCTTAACAAGCATTTAAGAAAAGCACAGCTTCTTTTACCTAAAGGAGTCAGAAACCATCCTCAATGGAACACACATGAGACAGACTTGAGGAGCAGATCCACTTCCATCTTTTGAAAGGCCCATATCAGCCCCAGAGTGGTTGCTCTGCCCTTTCTAAATTTAAAGGTTTTAATTTTTAAATTACATGTGGTTACGCCATCATTTGCCTAGGTAATGTGCCCAGTTATTCAGTGCCAGGAAATCCTGATGTGTGGTCTCCTACTTACAGAAATTCAAACCCTTTCCCATTGTTGCCCCTCTCCCATGTAAGATGAGGACGAGCTCAGAAGTCTTCTACTTAATGAATAGAGAAAAAGCAGACTTTAGCTGCATAATTTGCATATTAAAGTAGAAATACTTTATTTTGAAATGAAAGTTTGTGCTATTTCAATAATAGTGGTAGAAAAACATGCTGTTGTTCCCCCTTGCATTTCCAAAGAGATTTTAAAATGTTGAAACTCTAGTTTCTAGACTCTCATAGCAAGCCCTCTCGAGTAAAGCTCTTGTTTGAAATCAGCATCCGATCAGCAACATCGGCAGTGGCGCCCAAAGAAATACAGGAGAGACTCCGCAGGATACAAGTGCAGATAATGAATTGTCTTTATAGATACTCTGTGGAAAGGAACAGATACTCTGTCCTTACCACGAAGTAAAGTTAAAAGCTTGCAATTTTGATACATTTATGTCCTTTCTGAAAAAAAAATAATCTAGCATGAATATCTCTTTAAAAAGATAAACTTGGGGACCAGGCATGGTGGCACATGCCTTTAGTCCCAGCACATGGGAGGCAGAGGTGGGTAGATCTCTGAATTCAAGGCCAGCGTGGTCTACAGAGTAACTTCCAGGATAGCTAGAGCTACACTGGGAGACCCTGTCTAAAACCAAGGGGGCGGGGGTTGAGCTGGGGAGATGGCTCAGTGTTAAGAGTACTTGCTGCTCTTGCAGAGGAGCCAGGTTTGATTTCCAGTACCCACAGGGTGGTTTGTAACCATCCATATCACATCTCCTGTTCCAAGGGATTCAAGCCCTCTTCTGACTTCCTCTGACACCAGGCATGTACATGGTGCACATATAACTTGTAGGCAATACGTTCACACACATAAAATAAATAAATCTTTAAAAAAAAAAAAACAAGAAAATAAACTTGCCCTGATTTAATTTGTGAGCATGACACCATTTGATTCATGAGACAAGGAGGTCACTTAATGTCCTTATTGTTTCCTCTACATGCCACTGACTGCTGTGTTTTTGTTGTGTGGGACATTAGACATTACCACAGCATGGATGAATTCAGCCACTATGACCTGCTTGATGCCAACACACAGAGGAGAGTGGCTGAAGGCCACAAAGCAAGCTTCTGTCTCGAGGACACATCCTGTGACTACGGGTACCACAGGCGCTTTGCGTGCACCGCCCACACACAGGTAGGCTGGCCCTCGGACATCAGGAACCCTCAGATATCCAGAGACTAGGAAAACAAAGTCATCTGCTATTTCCTTCCTCTCCCCCTCTTCTTTTTTTTTTTTTTTTTTAAAAATCCGTTGTTTCATTTTGAGGTTATCTTACCAACGCGGAAATTAATTGGGAAAAGGCAGATGACTGGGTGGTGCAAATTGCTTTTAAAGTGTTTCCAGCTGCCCACGCAACCCCTGCTGGTGATCACAGAAGGTCACTGTGGATCCTTGCTACATAACACAATGAAAAGTAGTTTCCTTTCTGCACACAAAGGAATGACTTGAAGCATCTGCCTTCATTCTGGGTTCTTTAATTGGCTATAAATAACTGCTGGCGACATAGAACTGTTTTCCCACCTGCAAAACCATTTTGTTTCCTACCTTCCTGCTTACTATGGAATAGTGCCTAGAGTTAGAACAAGGAGTTGAAGTCAGTTCCTTCAGAGTACTTTAAACAGCATCACGTCTAATAATGCAAATAAGAATAGAAAGACACATTTCTTTCTCCACACATGTACATTTAAACCTACAGCGTAATTGGTATCAGATGTCCTTTGGATGAATTTGTTTTTAATAGTGCTGAGCTAAGCACTATTGTATGTCTTAGGATTGGAAAATGTGTGTCAGTTAAAAGCCATGTCGGTATTTCCATCCAAAACCCTCATTTGTAAAAAGACATTATAATTTTACTCCAGCCCAGCTCTTGGCAAGTAGTCCATGAATGTACATTTACCCAGGGCACAAAGACATCAACAGCCGTCATCTTGGGGAGCAGATTCCAGGGTTGTGGCCGGAAGCTTTTTAGTGACCTACATGTGTGGACCATACTTCTTTCCTTTGGGCTTAGCTCATCAAAGTGGTTAGAAAGGGAAACAGTTATACTTAGCATAGGTTGGGAGGGGCAGGACATATGCTTTAAGTGAAGGATGTAACCCAACCATATATTAAGCATGTACCCATTCAGAGATTGCATTCTCATCCTGTGATCACCCCCAGAGAAGCTGGGGGCTCTTCTTTTCCCTATTCAGAAAATGACACACACTGATCATCTCATTCTAAGATGGAACACTTGGGTGGGGAGTTGTTCATGTTTCAGCCCCAGAGGCTCCCCTGTTTGCTGGGGAGAGAACTCTTCTTCTGTTCATCCTTCTCTGTACACGTCTTAACAATTCTTCACCAGGTTTTGCATTGTAAGTGATTTATATGTTTCTGTTTTTTTTTTTCAGTTGTCTCTTGAACAAATATCACTTAAAGAAAAAAATTCACACAGACCTCTAATGTTGACTTTTGTTAGTTTTGTTATACTAGTGTCGTGTTCCTAAATGTTTATGCATATAACTAAGTATAACTTATGCATATATATTATATATAAAAGCCACATGTTCTAAGACTACAAATTTACATACTAAATTCATGCACAACTAAAAATAGTCACATCATACTCATTGACCAAACGTAGCAAACCCGTTATGTTTTGCTGAAACCAAATAATGAATTTAGATAGTGTAGAATGAAGTTATATTTCCAATTTAGTTTTACATTTGAATTTGAATATTGAAATGTCTACTCACTTAATGGCCTGGGTAAACTTCAGGTATTTATTTGCAAGTCCAAATAAGCAAAGCTCAAAATTAACATATTCTGTGAGTGCGTGAATCATAGAGTAACAGTGTCAGCCATTAGTGCTTACACATACATATAGCGCTTTTAAGATTGTGTGACCTAGGCCGGTGTCAAATTCATGGGCTTAAATTGTTCTCCTGCCTCAGCATTCTGCACCTTTGAGATCATGGGTGGATGCCAACAGGGATAACTTCAGCATTTCTGAAACACTTATTCACTTAACAGTAGCATTACTTATTCCTATCTTCCTTGGGTATCTAATCCAGTGCACAATTTAGAGTCATATGTGAAACAGTAGTAATGGTAGTGGCAGCTGTTAGTACTGCTTAGTGTGTAAGGTGCCAGAATCAGAGAATGATGTGGTAGAATCAGACCAAAAGTTCTTCCTCTTGTATTTCCTATCCAACACATAAAATGAGAATGGATCAAGGTGGGAACTCAGGCAATTATGGTCCTCATTCCTGTGACTCAAGTGATTTCGAGTTGGCTTGTCTCTACTGTCCTGTGCTGTGGACAGCAAAATTGTTCACTCTTCCCAAATCCAGATGTAGCCAAACCCCCATCCCTAAAGCATGGTGAGAGGCTTTTGTTATCTTTGATGACCAAAATGACCTTAAGCATCAAAGCAAACTTGAGTGATGATCTTAAATGATACTTCTGAGTTCAAATGATTGTAACATATACTTTTAATCAACTTTGGATTATCAGAGTGAAAATACAACAGTTAAAAGTTCTCATGAAGAAATAAGAAAATAAAAAAAAAAAAGATATCCATCTCCCCCAGTGGGAGAAAATGTCTTCAGCCTCATGAAAGCAAGGAGCATATATTCTTGGCATTTTTCTCCTGGCAGCCTTATGAGACGCCTGTTGACTTGCTGATGTGAACGTTTTAGCATGTGGTCTGATGCAGTATTGACCAGTTTGGGCATATATCCATCCTTGTGACTCAACTAAGATTTCCCCGATTATTTGATGGAGGGAATGTGGTAGTTGAGAAAAGGTACCTGTTTACATAATCTTGAAACCAACTCAGTCATTCCCTAGCTGTTTGCCCTGGAATAAGTCATTTGACCTTAGTATGCCTCAGCTTCCTCATCTATAAAATGGAGATAGTAATACACCTGCCTTATGTAGTTGTGAGAATTGGCTTTATATAATATGTTTAAAACGGTTCTGGTACATAATAATAACAAATGTTAGCTTCTCAAGGGTGCAACTAGACTCTACCCTTGAGGAATTTCTGTAATATGATGAGTATGTAGAGCAGAAATGGATGAATGCTATAAAGCTAAACAGGACAAAAGACCATGAACATTCAGAATGTAGGAAGGTCATTGCAGGGAGGTTCACAGATAGGATATTGGAACTAATTTGCTATGAGACCTTTATTCCTGGTGTAATATCTTGAATTGTGGTGAAGGCTTATTTTGCTGCTTAACACTGTTTTCTACTGGTGACTTGTGAAATAAGACACACTACTTCATACTGCAGTCCCTATAAAGCCCTAGCTATTATAAGACTGGGAAACATGTGGTTCTCATTGGAGATGAAACAGAAGTATTTTTATGCCAAATTCTTCTAGGTACCAACTTAGGATTTAATTTACCAATAATATCATGTTTGTTTGTTTGTTTGTTTTAGCTCTGTCTAGCCATATGCTATAATTTAATTTTTACAACTTTGCTGATTTCAGGGATTGAGTCCCGGATGTTATGATACCTATGCAGCAGACATAGACTGCCAGTGGATTGATATTACAGATGTACAACCTGGAAACTATATTCTAAAGGTAGGAGCTTTGAATACATGTAATTTACCATGACAATTCAATACACTCCCTTTTTCTGGTTTCAAATATTTAATAATCATGGTCTTAAAAGTAACCAAAAATGCAGGGCAGTGGTGGCGCACACCTTTAATTCCAGTACCTGGGAGGCAGAGGCAAGTGGATGTCTGAGTTTGAGGCCAGTCTGGTCTATAAAGAGAGTTCTAGGACAGCAAGGACTAAACAGAGAAACACTGTCTTGAAAAACAAAACAACAAAAATTGTAATTGAACACCCTTCATAACAATTTTTAAGCAATCCAGAGTATGATGTTTTTAAAAAGAGCTCAGAGAAATTTACACAACTTCCTTTGTAATATAGACAGTGTTTAACTACATGCTTTACTTAGACTCCTTTTCTTGCTTTTATTTATTTAGCTGAGTCCCTTGTTAGCAATTTCACTGCAGCATCTCTACAGAAATAGGAAGAAATAAGAGTATGCATATAAAGATGAACAGGAAGTCGTTCACCATGCTATTTCTGTTGTCCAGGTCAGTGTAAACCCCAGCTACCTGGTGCCTGAATCAGACTACAGTAACAATGTTGTACGCTGTGACATTCGCTACACAGGACACCATGCCTATGCCTCAGGCTGCACAATTTCACCGTAAGTATTGTTTGGCAAGCCAAGTAATTTCTTTTATAAGGAACTTTGACTTGATATTAGCTGAAAGACTGGCAGGTGCTTACAAGTTTTGTCACCTAGATTTATACAGCACTGGTATTTCCTTTGCTTCTACTACCATACCTTCCATGCAAATAAAGCAAAGCAAAAATTAAATATATAGCCGGGTGGTCATAGCCAGATGGTGGTGGCGCACGCCTTTAATCCCAGCACTTGGGAGGCAGAGGCAGGTGGATCTCTGTGAGTTTGAGGCCAACCTGGGCTACAGAGTGAGTTCCAGGAAAGGCGCAAAGCTACACAGAGAAACCCGTCTCAAAAAACCAAAAAAAAAAAAAAAAAAAAAAAAAAAAAATTAAATATAGGATCCATGTTATTATTTTTGACAATACTAGAGAATGAGGATGCAGTAATGTTTTACTCATGCTACAGCTTGTACAGTGTTCACCTGGGAAGATATATTGTTTACCTGACAAGTTCTGTAGCAGTCCAGTCCAACAAATTGCTCATTAAGCAGTGTAAGTGAGCTTGTAGGAGCCACAGTCTTTGGCTTTCCTCCCCTTCCCCCATGCTCCCTGATGGGAATGCAAAGAAATTCAAAGCATTTTTCAAGGTACACTTTCATTTATTGGTTGCAAAATGTGTGTGTGTGTGTGTGTCTTCTCTCCATAATTCCCTGAGTCCTGAAACCAGTTTGTGAATCTTAAAAGGAATCTCAGCCCATGAATATTAAGCAGAAGTTCTTTAATGAAGGGGAAAGTACAGAAGGTTTGCCCGGTTGCTACCTGTCTTGCCTGACTCCTTTAAAGCTTTGCCTGCTTCATGTTATGCTAGTTGTTCCTTCCAAACAGTGAGAAGACCATGGGAATAACTGAGCATACATCATCTTTGCACTGACATTGCTGAGATACTGGTAGCTTAAAGGCACCATATTATCTCACACAAGATCCTTTTCTTATTTACATAAAGGAACGGAGTCAATCTGTACTTTACAAACATTATCATATTATTATAAATAAATGAGGCTCATGACAGTAAAGAGAAAATATTGGAAAATTACATTCTTCTGAATATGTCAATAGTACAGAAAACTTGCCTGGGTCACTGGACCACCAAGCATGGAGTTAGCCTCAGCATGGATAAAGGCTCATAATCTAAAATAACTTATCATAAAAATTAAAATGTGGTTGATTCTTTTACATTTTTTAATTTTTATTAACTCATTCTCTATTTATTTACTCACTGTCACTTTTCACTGTATATTTAAAGTCCTAACCTGGTACCAGAAAGCAATATTAAGATAGGTAGGTATAATGGAGACCTTGTAGACTTACTGTAGCAATTTCCAAGTATTCCATATAAATTTCTTTAATGATTGTATCCTTCCCTACCCCCAAATGGCCAGACTCTAATTGCTTGTTCCCACTATATCTCCGTGGCCAGGGAGAGAACTGCCACCTACAGTCTTCCACTCAACACTTCATTCATGAATTACTTTGTCTCTCAAGAAATAAAGAAGTGACTCTAGAACAGCATTTGAATTTGGCCTTGAAGGATCAGAACTACAAAAGCAGTGCTGAGGAAGGGCATGTGTGAAGGAGTCAGAGTCATGGGCAACTTCCTGGCAGGAGTGGATTGCAGGCAATGTTTGCAAAGGCAAACTCCGGTTGGGTTTGTCAGCTGTGATCAGATCAAAAGGACAAAAGAAGAGCAGGCTAAGAATTTGGATCTTCTCTCTGGAAGCCATGAAAAAAAAATCTGACATTTTTAGGAAGGGAGTGAAATGCACATAAAGCCATGTGGACAGTCTGATGGCTAAGTGTGTGTGACCTCATGCTGTCATTATTGGCAGTTCTCTCCTAACTCTAATGACATGCCACTGTTAGCTCACTGGTTGTTTCTCATGCTGGTCAGATATTTGAAACCATTCTGGTGGGATGTAAAATCCACCCAATAATTTGGTATGTTCCATTCATGGAGCCTTTTTCTCCAACTCTTCTCAGATGACTTGGGCCCTTTTTACTTCTGCCATGCTACATAACTGGGCTTTCTCCTCACAGAAACTGCTGTTTAGAAATTGGTGGTTTATGATTTGAATGCAAGTGCATTTTTTCCTTATATGAGGTTCTGTGATCAGCCTTTCAACATGACCATACCTAGTTCATGGTCTTTGTTCCTACCTCTACCCATTAATGCATCATTCTGCACCCAGAAGCATGCAGAGAATGACAAATGCAAGATGGCGCAGAAACCATGACTATGCCTCTTGGTGGACGCAGTACTCTTGTTCCCTGGAATGAACTCACCTGCTTGAGTGCTGGTTCCATAAGCTCTGCTTGACTTTTCCTTCTTTTAATGTTGTTGTTTGTTTGTTTTGCCTTTTAAACATCCAGACTGTACATCAGGCATGGACTCCATGCTATTGACATATTACGTACTCTTTTCTTCCAATCACTGTTAAATCATGTTCTAATCATAATTTTACATGATGATTATTGCTGGAGGCGGGGGGGGGGGAACTTGCTCCATTGAGTTTTGAAAAGGCTGACTAAAATGTTATTGGTTGTACTCATTCATGATATTATCCTGCTAATAACTTGTCCCATGTGTTCTCTTAATATAGGTATTAGAATGCAAGCCCAGCTCCCATTGGATAAAGCAGTGCCTGGTGTTTGGAAATATGAAAAAACATAGATTAGCTGCAGTAGGAAGGACTTACATATTTTAAAAGGCAAATAACAAAGGAAGTTTTGTTTGGACTCTTTCACAACAAATACCATAACTGGATTTTGAATGTTTAAATCAGCATTATTTGGGAAATTTTAAATACTTATTCATGCTGTTTTGTGAATTAATGGTGTCTTAAGTTTGTAGGTGCCTACTTGGCTCTTTCAAAGAACCCCAAATTTCTTGTCTTCTTTTGAAGTGATAGAGCAAAAGGAAAAATGGTATTTTAATGAATGAGCCCTAATTTGAACTGATTGTTTTCTAAAATGCAGAAACCAGTAAAACAGCAATAATGGGTTTATATCTGCCTCAATATAGATTAATTTAAAATGATATTCCTACTGTGTAAACAGGAGTGGATACATTTGGTGCTGAGGAAGGGTCAAATACATGACTATTGTTGTCACGAAATATTACTCTATAGCAGAGAGATGGCAATATATGTATTCAGATAGTTACATCCCTATATAAAATTATGTTTACATTTTTAAATTACTAGATAATTTTCTTTCTGTTAAGTGCTTAATTTCACTCTGATTCAAGTCAACTTCTGTTTTGGAATGAATTAGATAATTCCAAGTTTCTGGCTGATACTGGCTGATATTCCCCTCTCCACTTCATTCTTCTGTTGACAGATATGTCTAATGTGGCAATCTTCACATTACCATTGTGGGGATTAACAGCATAGGGAAACCATTTTGATGACATGTGTGATCAATGTAGAGCTGCTATGCCCTGCAGCATACTTTACTGTTAGCCAAAATTAAGTCACTGCTGACATAGAGATTACATGATGAATCTCTAACACTATAACCATCTTTAAAATACTGTAAAAAAGAATACTGGAAAACCTTCTGTGGATTTTTTTCAACTCTACTACACTTCTAAAATGTCCAACTATTAAGGGGAATGCTAAAAAAAAAATGAAATCATCCATAATAGATAACCTAATGTGTGCAACACAGGACCATCATCCTAGATTCTTCAGGAATTGGCTGTACATGTTTTTGTGTATCTACAAAAGACAGTTCCAAATTAGCAAAGCACATAGCATTGCATACTTGAGAGGTTGGAGAAAAAGAGGGAAGCAGGTGCTTTCTGCAAAAAAAAAAAAAAAACAAAAAAAACAGGACTGCACACCACCACGAGACCGCTGTGACCTTACTTCAAACTGTGAAACTGTGCAGCAGAAGGATTTGGAAACTCTTAAATTCAGAAGGTGCAGAAAGAATCAAGTTAGACTTTTTAAGTTCCTGGTGCTTAAGCTGAAGTTTTCCTTCATTCACCAGCGTTAAAATCTCAAGTCAGGTACCTCCTGTGCCAGAACGTATCAGGTAGACCTTTCTCAGCAAGCTGGAGCCATGCCTTACGTGTCACAGAGTTGTAAGGGTCACAGTCACTCATCATCCTACTGTACTTACTGATGCAGGAGCAGGAGAGAGAGGCCAGAGATGGGAAGTTGCTAGGGGTGGATAGCGCGGTACACATGATTCTTATCCGCCTGAGCACACATTTGCCCATAAGCACATGAAGACGTAACTCAGATTGAGCTGGTATCTGACCCAAGGGGTCGCTTCTTTGATGGACCTCCTTGCCTTAGATTGCTTTTCAGTTTTAAGACTGTAGAATGATCCTTTCAAATTATAATCATTCTGATGGAGTTATTTTAATATACGTGCTTTTAAAAACAAAACTAAAACTACTGTCAGTATTAATACTGAACCAGACTGGCATGCATAGATTTAGCATCTTGTCTTATTAAGATTCTTAACTCTATAAAAGAAAGTAGGCTAATAATACGATGTTTAGGTATTTAGGATAGTAATTTCAATGAGACCTTTATCTCTTTAGTCATCATTATGTGAGGTAAGCCAAGCACTTACCTAATAGACATTGGAAAACAGAAAGACCATCCCTTCCTTGCTAGGTATGAAAATTAGGCTCACCTTATTTCATTTTTTAACTGTTAAAAATATGTCTATAGAATTTAAAATTTAAACACTGCTACTTGTCATGGCCATACTTTATTTTTCAAAACATAAATTAAAAGTTATTAATTATATACATGTATGTATTTCTAATAATTAAAATATGTTTCAAATCCAAGAAATGTCTGCCTTTTAAAAGTAATTTGGACTTTTTGGTTGATTGTTTTTTTCAATTAAACGTCTGTTTATTCATAAACATTTCTTTCCTTTCCACAATTTTAAAGCACTTCAAAATGATTTGTAAGTAATGACTCAAGACTTCATGTATTTAACCTTTGGGCATCTGTTCTCCAAAGGACCATCAAGATCATTAATAATTAGTTGGTTTAGACAAATTAGTATACTAAACTCTAGATTTTTTAAAATAAGAGGTGAGAATGGCAAAAAGAACACCAAAGACTGAAAAGGAACTTGTTTTTACACTAATAAAGGCCGTGAAAAATAGACAGCAACACAGTTTAGTCTACCCTTTGCCAGCTACATAGTGTCGTGATCCTGAGACTGTGGATTCCATCTCCAGTGGGACCATGGCATATCCTGTCTAGCTGCAGAAAACCTTCACACTTTATATAAGAACTGAATTTACAATTTCCATCTAATTGTTCCCTGGGCATTCTTTATAACAGTTGTGTGCTGCTCTTTAAAGTAATGTTAGGCACATGTGTGCACATCATTCTTTATGCTCAGAATTTAGAGGAAATGGGGTTCACTAAAAGTTTTCCCCTACTGACCATTAATCTTCAGTAGATTGTATGAAAATACTAAATTCTTAGTCAGGAAATATTTTAGAAATCATTTTACTCATAGTATATTAAGTAACCAAACTATCCCTTTTGCATATGCCTCATATTTGAATTTACATACATAACATAAAAAAATCAACCATTTAAATTTCATTCCCAGAGTCCCAAAGTTCTAGGCCATTTTGAGTACTGATTTTGGTTAGCTTTCAAGCTGAAATGGTGCTGAGTTATCTGAACTTGAATGTAAAATGCATTAAGTCTTAGCTCACGGGATACAGACATTTAATATTATATATAATTAATATGTGCTTGCTGCACACTCGGTCATATGTCATTTGGTATTAGAATGTCTGTAATGAAGTTTTAGTTTCTCCCATTTTTTTTTCTGGAAGTTTTATTTGTCAAAACATTTGTAACTTGTTTGAGGAGCTTTTATTTCAAATGCCTAGCCACAGGCTTTATATTGAATTCTCACACCCTTTTTTATTATGTGCTGTAACTGCATGATTACATATAAAAATGCCTTGAGTAAATGATTTCAAGTGTCTAAAGTGGTCATTTTGTTACCTACAAATAAATGATCTGAATTTCATTTTTAGTTAAAACATTAAAGCCGTATGTATGGTTGATATTCTTGTCTAAGTGCCTTTTCTATTTTTGAAATTATAATATCATTACATCATTTCCCCTTTCCCTTTCCACCATCAAACCCCTTACCTTGCCCTCTCTCAAATTCATGGCCTCTTTTTCTTTAATTTCTTTAAATTGTTAGTGTTACACAGACAGACAGACAGACAGAAAGACAGACAGACAGACAGACAGACACACACACACACACACAGATTCCTAAATACATAAATACAACCCTCTCCCTCCATATAATGTGACCTGTATGTACATAGAGCTGACCACCTGGCATTGGATAACCAGTTGGGTGGCTTTTCCCAATGGAAGACGATTTCTCCCACTCTCAGCAGTCCCCAGCAGCACATAGTTCTTTCTCTAGGATTTGGACCCCACACGCTTTCACCTTTCCATGTTAGCATGTCCATTGGCGTCATCATTGTCAGGTCTTGTTTAGGTAGCCATATTGATGAAACTTCATGGGTGTAGCATCTCTGACGTTTCTAGGAAACACAATCTCACAGAAAACTCCCTGATCCTCTGGCTCTTACATCCTTACCACCCCTCTTCCACAATGACCCCTGAGACTTAGACACAGGAGTTTTGTTGTATCAGTTGTGACTGAACACCACGAGATCTCTTGTTCTCCGCATTTTGGTCAGTTGTGGTTTTCGGTAACTGTCTTTATCGAATGCAAAGAGAAGTTTCTTTGGTGAGGGACATGAACTACACGTAGCTGTAGGTGTAAGCATAAACATTCAGAATGTAGTTAAGAACTGTGATGGTTTGGTAAAATGATAGTGTTGTTCTCTAACATCCATGACTTTATTAGCCCCAAGTCCAGCTGGGTCCAGTGTCAAGAATGGTCTCCTTCTTGTTGAGTGGGACTTGCGTTCAGTTAGGGAGCTGATGGCCACTGCCAAGATATGCATGGCACTGTTGCACCCTAGGGTTACTGTGCCATGCTGGTTCTTGAGGTTTATAGTCATCATAGCTGGGTAGCACTTCTCTTCCTTGGAAGCTTGCATTGTGCCTTCTGGTTCCATAAAAGCTATTTCACAGACAGGGAACTTCAGGCCAATTCCAAGTCTCCAGAGAGTTGAAAAAAAATGCAGAAGGAAAGTTTGTAGCTACTAAAGGTTAGCTTATGAGGTTTAAGAGTAGACAATGTCTCTAATCACTAAGCACAAGACGGAGCAGAACGTAATCATGTATAAGCTGCAATAACCTGAGTAGACCACACAAGCTAACTGATGGAAGTGACTAGAGTAGCAACAGATTTTACACACACACACACACACACACACACACACACACACACACACACACACACACACCATCTAAGACTTTAAGAGGCGGGGGGGGGGGGGGGGACACTAAATGCTTGGCTTAGAAACTTCAAAGAACAGATGATACTCTTGTTACGGTTGTAATGCAACTGCTGACTTGTGATTGCAACATTTATCTATGTTCATGGACCATTCTGAAACTCCTACTAGGTGACAGCACATCTGTTTGAAATATGACTTACTGAATATCTTAAATACCTTGTAGAGCTATTCCTGGAAAATTAAAATTTATTAAAAAAATAAAACAGAAATGTCACTCCCCACTGGCAACACACCTTGTCCCTCACGAGCTGTGATAATAATGCACAGTGAGGTATAGTGAGATTTTGTGCCTGTGAGCACATCACCCATTCTGCAGTTCACAGATTGAGGAATTTTAGCTTTTCAGTCTCATTATTTAAGCAACATTTCTAAAGTTGTCACTGCTATAGATATCGAGTCATCTGATGGCCCTGTACAAAATAAAAATCTTCCGAAAGTTTCACTGTCCTGGATGCCATTAAGGACATTTGCAAGGAGGATGTCAAAGTAACCCTAACCTAAGGATATGGGAGGTCAAAATAACCCCAGCAGGATTTTGGAAGAAGTTTACTGCAATCTTCATGGGTGATTCCCAGGAGCTCCAGGCTTCCGTGAAAGGACAATTGCCGATATAGAAACAGCGAGAACCAGAATCAGAAGAGGAGCCTGTAGATGCAACTACATTGCAGCAATTTGATTATGAGACAGTAACGGATGAGGTGGATGGATGATCAAGGATGGTAGGCTCATTCTTAGGGTGATATTTACTGCTAGTAAAGATGCTGTGAAATTGTTGTGACCATTGTTGAAATGGTCACAAAGGGATAAATTCAGCTGATAAAGTGCAGCAGATACAGTTCCAATTTTGTGAATGGTTCTATAGTGGGTAAGATGTGGTGAAATAGCATTACCCTTTACAGAAACATCACTCATTAACCCGAGTCAAGCAATATGCAAATATGTCACTGCTATCTTAGTTTAAGAAATCTCTACAATTGGTTTTATCTTCAGCACTCTCCACCATGATCAGTTAGCAACTATTAACAGGGACCTTCCATTAGAAAAAGTATTTCCAACTCATTAAAGGTTAAAACAATTGTTAGAATCTTCTTTTGCAATAAAGTATTTTAAAGTTATGTGTACTTTAGACATAATGCATATTTCATAGGCTGTAGCTTATGCAAGATAGTTTTTACCTGCACTGAGAAACCAAGACAGGTGACTCATCGTATTGTGGTACCTGCTCTATTGTAGTGGTCTGGAACAAAGCACATGGTCCTCTCAGGCATGCCACTAACACATAATATAGAGTGGACGCTGTGGAAATAGTAGTTACCATGCACTAGGTAGGGAACCATGACAAGAAAATTAAGTTGTCCAAATTCAGTACAGACTCATTTACTTTCCAAATATTTTCCATTTGAATTTGGTTGAGTGAGGGAATGCAGAGCATGCAAGTGTGGAAATTCCAGTTTCACAAGATACCAAACAAAAAGAATCTCTTAACAAACCAAGTCTGGCAAATGCTATCTTTCCAGTGGAGGTTTTAGTATGTATTACTGTGTGGGAAATTCTGCAAAGTTCTGCAGAAAAGACACCATTTCAATCCTACCACCATCTCTCAAATTTGATTTTTTTTATGTTTTGTATTTTATAGCACCTACCCCACCGAACTATTTTTGTTTAGAAGATGGTTATAAGTATTCATGTTAAATAATTGTAATTGCACATACAAAATCATCTGTAAACAAATGTATGGTGGTGTCAACATATCTGAGCTATGGGTATGGGTTTCTGAAGGTTACCAGTTTGCAAATTGTTTTGTATCCTTAAATTGTATAGATAAGTAGGACCCCTTCAATGGGAAGGACTACATTGTTTAAACTACCTTTCTTCTTAAGAAATATGAATTATACCTATTTATCAGATGACTTGACTACTTTGGTATCCCCTATTAAATTTTTTTCCTCTTTAAATCTTAGTTGTGTATAGCACACATAAGGAACCAATCATTTTCTTCATGGTTCTTTCATTTTGTACATTCACTATTTTACATTGTACCCAAATGTGCAATTTTAAGTGAATTTCAAGTAAAATTTAGTAATCATTACAGGAGACAGGGAAAAGGAAGGTTGGAGTGAATGACTGGGAAGGAAGGGTGTGTGTATTTATATCCACAGTTCTACTTTCTGTGGCTTCAGTTACTTGTGGTCATTCATGGCCCAAAAATATTAGATGGGAAATTCTATAGAGAAACAATTCATATGTTTTAAATCACACACCATTCTAAGTAGCATGGTGAAATGTCATGCATTCCTGCTTCTTCCTGCCCAAGACACAAATCATGCATTCCTCCAGCACACACACTGTATATGCTATTTGCTCCTTAGTCACTTGAAAAGAGTGTTGGTCACAGGGTTTATGTTCAAAGAACCCTGATTTTAATACCGGAAGGCATTAAGTTTCCCATGGAGAGAAGCAAACCACAGTCCTACCCAGCTGTGAGCCTATGATCCACAGTGACAACATGGCAAGATATCTCTAAAGGAACAATAGTGGCACTCCTATCTTGGTGGTACCCAACAGCTATCTAATGGGAATTAAGGAAAACTCAATAGGAGGGAAATCATGCCTGATACTAGAAACAGCCAATTACCCAAGACAAGTGAGGTCATGGATCGGAGGTGAATCTACAACGGTCACTTTACTAAACGAGCATAATTCCTAACTGCATTCTAAATACTTATCCTTATACTCAGCGATGACGGTAGTTCTCATCTCTGATCAAAGAAATTTCTCTTTGCAACAGATGGAGACCGTTACAGAAAACCACAACTGAACAAAATGGAGAGAATAAATGATCATGTGGTATCCAGCTCTAGCCGGAAGCTTCATCCATGATACCTCAACAATATGGCTGCCTAAACATGGACAGCTATAACACCAATAGACATGACAGCATGGAAAGTGGGGGGAAGTCTCATGAGGTTCCAACACTAGTCAAAACTATTGGCAACCAATGAATGCTGGGAATGGGAGGAATAGTCTTCCTCAGGGGCGAATCCCCTAACTGGTTATCAATACCAATTAGTCAGATGTGAAATCATATATACACAAGTAACACTAAACGGAATAAATGAATTGTATTTGTATATTATGCACATATACATATATATATATATATATATATATATATATATATATATATATATATATATATATAACAATTTAAAAAAGAAAAGAAAAGAAATAGAGCCATGTAACCTTGGTGCCTGAAGGTCTTGGTCGTCACCACCCAGCTTGGTAGCCAGAAAGAAAATGCCACTCATCTGTGGCTTCAGCTCAAACAGTCCAGGGAATGCATTTAGTAGATTTGGTCTATCTCATGGAAACTGCTGACATTAATGTGTGTGGATTCTGTGACTGGCCCACACTGAGTCAAGTGATCGAGCTTCTGTAACCACCGAAGCAAAAGTTGTGGGGTGAAGCAGCAGAGTGATGGTTTCCCCCCTGAATCACACTGCTGTAAGAGAAAGTGGGGGAGAGCACAATGGTCACCCAGAAGGGGGTAAACAAGAAGATTCTTGGATGTCAGCAAGCCACTTTGGCTATGTTTAGCAAAAAGATCAATAAAA